CCCAGGCAAGTGACCAAAAAGTTGAAACAGCTTTTAGTGGGAAGTCTTTAGGTCCTAAGCCCATATGGGTCCTACATTACAGGCTGGCCACAGGCTGGCACATTTCCCCTCTAAAAAAAAATAAAAAAATACATCTTTAATCATTTCTTGGTATTTACTTTAATATTTAATAATGGATAATTTCAAGCTCCATTCATGGGTAAATCCTCTCCCCTGGAATAAACAAAACCTTAAGCTAGATTTGAAAACATTGTCCTAAAAGACTAATGGGATCAAAGAATACAATGACATTTCAAATGACATTAAGATGAATAATGACATTTGGCGAGACAAATATACGAGTGACATTTTGGACAAAACATACATCAAATTCTACCACCGTTACCTCCCTTTGTATGAGGTTATATCTTGTAAAATGCAAACCAGTTGCTCGATTGTCTCTTACCACAATAAGTTAGTCACAATAGGTTGTCGGATGGTGCACAAATAAGATTTAAAATGAATACTTAATCTTTTGTACAACATTTTTGTTTTCATTCAAGTTTAGTGTACGCATAATATTATAAAGAACAGGTGGTGTCTGTCTGTCCCTGTTTGTACGGTATAAACTTATTAACTACTCTAATCATTGTATCAATGATTGGTTAGAACTATCCCCGCTTCAATATTGACTGAGGGTTTGCGCTTTCAAAGTTCTGAGTTAAGGCTTTTAAAAGTAAACATTGATTGGTCTCTATTTCAACAACTCTTTCGCTCATATTGAATTAATTTGGTCATGTAAATTATAACAGTATATTCATCATGTGGTCACATTTTTTGAGATTTATATAAAATACCAGTTAGTTTTGTGTTTTGTGTTTTGTTTATTGTTTTTTTAACGAATTTCCAATATAAGGGATACGCTATTACCGTAGGTCTAATGGTAAGACCCAGACCCGGGACCGATCTGCTTTTTCATTTGGAGGCCCCTAGAAGCCTAAAATACTCTCCGTTCAAATTTTCATGTATGTATGTATGAGTGTTTGTGTCCGTTAGCACAAAATGATTTGATTTTGATGAAATTTGACACAAAGGTGTAAAACTACGTTTATTCGAACGAGTTTCCAAACCTGCATATGGGAACGGGGGTTTATGGGGGTTAAAATTGGATTTTCCCATTTTTGACTCTGAAACATGAAGTTTCACAATTTTTTTCCAAACCATTTAGTAGAGCTTAAAAAAGGAATAATTTTGTAAATTGAAGTGTTGTATGTCTAACGGTTTCGGAAAGAATTACAACAGATTTAAATTTAAAATTTCCATGTTTTTCGTATGGAGAGTAAATAAACTGTTGTAGTTTGCTTGTTTATGGATACATTTTAATCAAATTTGGCAATTTTGTTTATTTCATACCAAGCTATATATATAAAAAAACAAACTCTATAGCTTCCATGTAGAAACAAACCAAATCACTCATTACAGTTAATCCTATCCTATACTCTAATACGAACAAAGTCTGTTTGTCTGTCTGTCTGTAACATATCGAAATACAGTGGAAGGAGTTTGACAAAATTTTGGAATTAGGGCTTATAACCTCAAAAAACATGATTGGCGACAACTGCTACCTAAGGAAAACTCGTATTTTGCTACAAAACACATTTGAAAATTTATAGTAGTTTACAAAACGATCGCGTAAAAAACGACACGAGTCGAAATTTAGAGTACGAGCCTTGGCGAGTGTCGTTAAGACTATTTACACGAGTTGCGTAATGCGTACACTACTTTACCTACGACAGTTTTTTTTATTACTAACAATCACTAATCATACCTTCTAAGAGACTAAGAGAGGTTATGTTTTAGTTTAAATAGCTTCTCATTGCCACTGAGAATGATGCAACGAATAATTGTACCAAACTCTAATTGCACCACTCGTTAACAATTAAATTTGCCTGAACAGCTGATTCGTTGAAGTTCAAAGCATGAAAATTTTACTTCTTTTTTATCAATCCTTGAACCTTATTGGTCCGTTACCCATGTTGTTAAGTATAAACAATCCTGTTAAGTAAGTAAACAGTGCCGTTAAGTGAAAGTAGTAAAGATTTGTCACGTCACGTTTTATACACTATGTCCACTTAAACCTTAAAACAGTAAAAAACACTATTAAACTGATTTAATAAAAAAAATATATATTCATATTATACTACGCTCTGATGGTATATTAGATTATATAATCCATAATTTGGATATACATTTAATTCGTGCAGCTGTGATTTGATACACTTAAAGTACTTTTTAATATTTATTACTGCAGACGGAAATTATTGGCTATTATTTAAAGGAAGCTCATATGAAACACTGGAGTTTATTAAAGTATCAGGTTGAAAATTAATTTTCGCTATAACATGAATATGCTTCTTGTTCATTGACCTTGTAGTTAATGTATTTTTTCGATCTAACACTTGTCAACATGCAGCTGTACAGTTCCAAATAATGGTTACGTCGACCTCAGCTACATTATTTGACAGTCACTGTATGACTGAACTTGTGTTGGCGAGTGTAATGCAATATATTAACAATGCCATTGGAAACATATTCTGCCATTATAAATCTGAAGAGCTGTTATGGAGATAAACGTTTAATGATTTTACCTACGACAGTTTTTTTTTAAAGTATCCATTTCAGTTTAGTTCTTATAATTGAAATGTTTCACGTAACAGCTGTTTACTTTAATAACAGCATAGTTTCATTTCATAACAGGATAGTTTTTCACATAACAACACGGGTAACGGACCAATGAGTTTCAAGGATTGAGAGAAAAGAAGTAAAATTGTAATGCTTCGAAAATCAACTAATAAGCTAATCAGCTGATCAGTTGACGATTTTTATTGTTGATCTGACGTGTTCCAGTTGATACTCGCGTATTCTTAACCTAAGTTTGTAGAAGTTAAAAAAGGTAGACTAAACCGATTTAAAAATGTCATGTAGTGAAAGTGAAGTTGACGAGATGGAAATGAGAGAACAAACTGTTTATAATATTCTATAATATTCGATGCTGAGATCAAGTAATTATATAAACATCATGGGCAATATCTCCAGGGCCTTGAAAAATATCCTTAAAACAATAAATATTATGCTAGTACTTCTGTAGTGTATAGTATATTAAACAGGGGTTGCTACTCCAAGAAAATCTAAACATCATGTGCAATATATCCAGGGCCTTGAAACATATCCTTAAAACAATAAATATTATGCAAGTACTTCTGTAGTGTATAGTATATTAACCAGAGGTTGCTATTCCAAGAAAATCTAAACATCATGGGCAATATCTCCAGGGCCTTGAAACATATCCTTGAAACAATAAATATTATGCAAGTACTTCTGTAGTGTATAGTATATTAACCAGAGGTTGCTATTCCAAGAAAATCTAAACATCATGGGCAATATCTCCAGGGCCTTGAAACATATCCTTAAAACAATAAATACTATGCCAGTACTTGAGTAGCTTATAGTATATTAAATGGGGTTGCTACTCCAAGAAACTCTGGTTGACTATCGTTTTGCACAACGCTTAAACGGATCAATAAAAAATATCAGTTACTTAGTTTAAATTAAAACGATTTACTACCAGAAATGTTTAAAAACTTTATGGATACGTGTTATTTTAAAGACTATATTAAAATGAAGGTAGATAATTAAAGATGAACCATTGATTATTATTAAACACAGTAAAAAATACTGCCCCTGGTGCAGATATCATCACCAAAAACAATAATGTTATAGCATAATAATACAAATCCACTTTCCTGTATTCTATAATAGATACTTATGAAAGATTTGCAGGTGTTCCCGCTGGTAGTTTGTTATTAAAATAACAATTACAGTAATAATATGGTGTATTGATAAAAATTGTTTAACGACAAAACATATTTGTTGGGTTTTATTGGTGTTTAAAAGGAGGCCATTAGCTTCAAACCAGACTGTGCCATCTGCCATCACATCAGAAATAATGTTACAGAGCTCAATGTTACCTGAACAGAAGAAGGTAGTGTCATCAGAAAATATGACTTTGTTACAACTAATATTTACAGGAAGGTCATTAACTAAAACAAGGAACAGAAACGGGCCCAGAACCGATAACTGGCATACGCCACTGTTGACTACCGCTACCTCTGAGAGACTGTTTTAAAGCAAACTTGTTGCCTGAGGTTTGCTAAACAATTTATAAAAAACTTGGCTCCACACCACTTACACCATAATACAGTAATTTATTGAGAATGATCTCATGAGACACACAGTCGAACGCCTTAGTCAGATCACATAAGGTGGTCAGGGTACTATGGTCGTTTTCAAAGTTATCAATCACAGCTGATACAAGGCGGTCGTCTGCGTCATCACAAGATAATCCTGGTTTGAACTTGAAGCTTGAGTTAGGGTGTTGGTGATTTCCTAGCAAATCAGACGCTCTTTCTGGAGACAGGTTCACTTGTTTGCTTACATCTTCCACGGATAAGATGATGTACGAGTTGAAGTCTTCGGGTGTGAGATTGCAATCTATGTTATAATCACCGCACAGAACTGTAGGTAGGAAAAAAAATCTTCGATGGTTACATACTCTATATGGCTCATACTATTACAAAACGTTTATACAGTTTGGATGCGTTGATTGCCTAATCCTAGGTTGGCTTCTCCAACATTAGAGTCTCCGGGTTCGATTCCCGGAATATCTACACCAATGTGATGAGTTTGAAACGTTTTTCTTAAAATATTCGACGTTTCTCTAACTTCAAATGCGAATGGTGGGAACACCAATACATCTTATAGATGTCGTAAATAGTAGTAAGGTTAATATTGTCAAACCTAATTAAATTTGGGAAAATCCTAATTTTTTACCTAAATACAGTCCCGTGCAGCTCAATAATATTTCGGCAATCGATTTTCTTTTTCGATGGTGATAACATTTTATTCGTGCTGCACGTTGATTGGATATTTAGGAGCCTGGTCTATTGCACCATCATGTTGTGACAGATGGTTTGGTAGTATTAAACGACTGTTCGTTTCACGCCACGGTCTCAGTATCGCATAGTTTTGTAATGTTCGAGTCGCTGTTTTTATTGGTAAGATTTCTTCATAATTTATTTATTATAGTAGAGGTCAGCATAGAGGTTAGTAGTACTAGAGGTCATACACCGTGACATTGGTGTTTGGGCGTATCCATCTTGAATTAAACAAATTTTTATTAGATATTTCTGGACTTGATGTAAAGATGTATGAAATAAAAACTGGTAAATACAGCTTTCTTAAATTTTAAACTAAATCTGTCTAAGTCCTTTGAGCAAGGAAAATGTAAATGGACATCATTTTAAGTGAATTACAAATTTAAAACATTTGTTTGCAATTATTTAATTAAAAAGTTTAAAATTTAAAAGAGACATATATAACAGTTTTATATTATAATTTTGAATATAAAATACAAAAAGGCAAATATATCGATAAAAAAACGCCTAACAACACTTTAAATATAAGTTTTTAAATTTTTACTGTATTAACAAGATGTTAGATATAAATGAAATATGGTATTGGCAATTGAATTTTTATTAATTCTTTTTTCGTACTTATGTTTACTTTCCGTAAAATTAATAACACGTAATATGCTGATTAAGAGGTTACTGACGAACCTGAAGCACGGAATCGTGTGAAATCTAGGCACAGGGGAAGAACGTTTAGTTGATATTTTTCGACGTTATTGGTTTTTTGTTTTGTAGGTAAAGGTGGATAAGGTGTAAGGCCTTATTTAGTTTAAAACTGGAACTGCAGTTTCTCATATAATATTCGACTAACTACGTTAAAAACGCTCATTGAAATAATACTGCGACTAACCTGTAGATAAGCGTAGAACTGAGCGCGATTCAAGGACACCAGCTGTGACGTCATCGCGCTGGCAGTGCAGCCACACACACAAACTAAATAGCACTACTTTACTACTAGTGTATAGCTTTAAATAAATCACACTCACCACAACTAAAATTTGGTGATTCTTCTCTTGACCAAATTAAAATTAAAAACGTAGTAGGTCAAACTCAACAGTACTTCAATTATAACTTGGCCTAAATTATTAGCGACTCAAAACTAAACTGCTTCATAAAAAAATAAACTAAAAAATATTCTGCGCCTTGCTTCTGCTAAAACCTACAAATCAAGCCGCGCAGGCTTCCTCACAGTCCTGTCAGAACGTCTTAGTTGTGGCGGACTGCACTGCACAACGGGAGGCTGAAGTTCTGCCACTGGTGGTTCGTCTGACGTGGACTTCCTCTGCGGTGATTGTTTCTCCGGAGATGCTGGTGTTTAATTTAAATTCCTATTTACGGGTGTTGCTGGTGTGTAGCAACTCCGGATGGGTGGAACAGGCTCCTCTTCTTGAAGATAATGTACCATTGAGTCGAATGCTGCAATGTGTTTAGAGAGTGATATGAGGTCGCATGAATGGTCTGGACTGAAAAAGTGGGTTTCTTGTAAATTTTATAATAAAATCTATTGTTAATTTTAGTTATGTTAAAATCAATTCATTGCGATGACGTCTCCAATTTCTAAGGTGAGTTCAGTCTTGGAGCTATTTTGTTGAGATACTACTTTGCATTTAAACTATTATTTTGCACTTAATGAAAATAGTACATTTCATTACTAGGACCGAAAGTGGCATTCTCCGGCGCGCGCTCAAGCTTTTGTGTGAGGCGAAGCCGAACACAGGGAACACCAATTTCATTTGCGAGGCGAAGCGGACGGGAATAATTGAGCAAGTACCGGAATATAACTTTCGGTATGAATGTAGTATGAATTTAGTTATGAACGATACTTTTTTATCACGACGCATAAATACACAAACACGGAATAACATACTATTTTATTTCTCAATTAATTTGTTTAAAAATCAAAATAAAATCAATTAGGTATTCTACTTGTATTTTTGATTCATTTTTAAAACATAAAAATAAAAGTATAAACAACTTGTCACAATACATGCAGTTGATTCAAATCAATAATTAAACCGCAACAAAATACTATGGAGAGCTAATCGAAAGCGAGGGAAAGTAAATTTAGAGCGAGGGAAAATCAGCTGAACGATTTTCCCTCGTTCTAAATTAAAGTTTGACAATCGACTACTTTCATTGATATCAGCTGTTATCGAAAATGGTAACTTTTGTAATGGAGCGATGAAAATAATATTCTCAAACAGATGGTCTGGCCGTGGTTTGTACTAGAGAGTGGAGTGTCTCTAGTATTTTATTTCACTTATATATCAATCCGATCGAAAATGAATACAATTTGTCCAACGAGAACAAATATAATTTATAAAGAGCACCATACTTTAGATATGTCGACGATGCCATTGTCTTCTTTGAAGGTAGTAAAAGGCAGTTAGATCTGCAATTAAATTATATTATGTTGATCGCTTACCGGTTGTTAACGTACCTGATCTGCGGCTATGGCTGGTGTAGAGAACTCTTTTGTGTACTGTTTACAGATGTGACAGTGTGATAACTTCTATACAGTGGTAGGAAATAGCTATTTGTGGATTAAGAGCGCAAAGTATGTCATTGCCGCTCGAGAACTGTTGTAGATGACCGCACGAAGCTTATATATGACCACACATTTTTAGAGCGGCAATCACTGTGTATTCTCGTAATACACACTAAATTTTATCCTACCACCATTATTAAGTTATCATAACACACAGATAAACTTTTTGTTTTTTTATAAAATATAATTTAGGTTATGTTATAACTTACCTGTTGTTAACGTACCGGATACATGGCTGTGGTTGGTATAGAAACTCCAAGTGTAAAATCAGTTGACGTTTGCGAGCAGGAATAAATAAATAAATAAATTAATGAATGAATGAATAAATAAATAAATAAACAAAAAATATAAATAAATAAAAAAATGCTTTTAATAATCAAGCGTTTCTCGGTACAACTGGCAAAAAGAAACTAAATTTAACTCCCATAAGAAATACATAGAGGACAAATTTCGTTTACGTATAACCCGAAAGGGATTATAGAAAAATATATGATAATGCTTGATGGCAAATCTGTGCGTGTATACCTTTAATTTGAGACCTCAATCATGAAAATCGGTCGGGTAGAAGAGCCAAACGAGCTCGGCAAAGAGAAAGAGAAACATAATTTAACGTCAATAAGAAATACATGGGGAGCAAATTTCGTTTACGTATAACCCTAGTGGGATTATAGATAAATATATGCAGATGCTTGATGACAAATCTGTGCGTGAATACCTTCAATTTCAGACCTCAATCATGAAAGTCGGTCAGGTAGAAGAGCCAAACGAACTCGGAAAAGGGAAACAAAATTTAACTTCCATATGAAACACATGGAGAGAAAATTTCGATTACTTTTAAACCGGGTGGGAAACCTGTGCGTGCATACCTTCAATTTGAGACATCAATCATGAAAATCGGTTAAGTAGAAGAGCCAAACAAACTCGGAAAAGAAAAACTAAGTTTTTAGCGAATTTCCCATATAGAAAATAAGCTATTTTTAATATATAAGATTTATTATTTTAGTAACAAGGCGTTTAAAACAACTTATTCGAAGTTTTTTTCTTTTGTTAACCTTAGAATGCATTTTCTAGTGATAGTATTATATTGGGCAACTAGTCTGTATGCTCCGTTAAACGTTTCAAAACAATGGAAAATAACAATCTGGAAAGATAATATATCGCAAAGCAATTTTTACAAAATGTCAACTTATTTTGAAAATGGTAGATAATTATCTATGGGGTACTTTGTATGACATGTTCTTGTTCTCTTATTACAATTTGTTTTCAGACTTTCCTATGCCACACCATACTGAGTGAAGCACATGAAAGATTTCCATTTCTTGTCGATGATATCAAACGTAAGTTGCTTTATAGTCTATAGAAATCTTGCTTGTCTCTACGCCATGCTAAATTATCAAAAGCATCTAACTTTATGCAAAACTAGATAGTTTAGTTCATTTTCCTATCTTAAAATTTGCTCCCACTTTTTACAGAAAGTTAATTTTTTATTCCTTAAAAAATTCTTTATTTAAAAAAAAAAAAAAAATTATTGTTAATGCAAAACACCAGTAACAGCAAAGGACAAGCAAGTAAAGCGAAACATTATGCCTAGAAAGGCTTTTTTTCAAACTATTTCAACTTTCTCTTGTAGCCTAGTCAATAAAGTGTTTTTATCCCAACTAAATGGTGAACAGCTAGATTTTTTATATGTAATAGAACCACATGAGAGGTGTATTTTCCCAAAAGTCCCCACTTCTACCCCTTGAGCTTTCCCCTCCACCCCCTCCAAACTTAGAAAGTGCAGTGTTTCACTTATTGATCATAAGTACTATGTTTATTTTCGTGTTGCAATTTGTTTAGTTTTATTTCTGATTAATTGGCTTTCTAATCCTAGTCGGTTCAGTTGTTTTACGTTATTCAGGAGCACACTCAGATACATACACCAAATTGTATACACACTACATGTCTTCCTGGCTGGGCTGATAACCTGAACGCACTATAAGGAATAATTGTTTTAAAAAAGAATTTTCTGTTTCTCTCATTACACCATTCCAAGTGACAATTTTTAATAACTTTTAAAAAGAAAACTGTGTAGGTATATCGGTTATAATCTTTCCATACCAAAGAAATTTTACCTTCACTTTCATTCTCGAACTTCTCCGTCCACTTACGTTTTGTGTAAAAAAAGCCATATCAGAAACAAAATTTTGTAGCATTGTATATCTACCCTACTAGTAAAAGAACCGGTTGTGGTTAGGTACAACGCCCTTTAATAATAATAATAATAATGGTTATGAAATCCATACACCACTTTACTTACTCACTTATATTAATGATACAAATTCGGCACATAACTTTAGAATCACACACTTCAGACTTAAACCACAAATGCAAATAAACAAAAAATCAATTCAAAAATCAAATAAAATTATTGACACTAAATAAACGTTACATTAAGTGCTTATAGCAGTAACTGGTGTCTATTCAATTACATAAATGCTTATAATAAAATAACAATATATACCTACTCAAACTACTTAAGGCAGTAAAAGAAATGTATACATAAAACATTGACAATTACAATAACGACAAAAATATACAATGACTAACCTAAGGTAGTGTCTGCTAAAAAGTCTGCTAAAATAATAAACCTTATCCAGTAGTATTCCTTTAATTTTTACATAAAACACATTTACTGCCAATTGTTTAAATTTATTTAGCAAATGGTTGTACACTGTACAGCTTTAATCTATAAAAAGGACATTTTCAAATTTTGTTGTCCGATGAATTGTGTAACTGTAGAGGTTCTTGTTTCCCGTGTTGTACTTATTTTTTATCAAAAACTTTCCCAAATCTTTCTTTTTTCATGGACAAAATTTAGGGTTTTCATAAATAAACAGGATGAGAAAAGTTTTTATGGATTAATTTTCTAAATATGTTTACAGAAATCTAAAAATTTAGTGTTTGCCGTATTTCTAATAATTCCTTTATTCATTGAAAACAAATTTTTAATATTTTTTAAAAATATCATCATGTGGTAATGCAATACCTAAAAATAGATTCTACATAGGGAAATATACTATTCTGGTAACATTATTTAATGCACACTGGGAATGAATGAACTGAAAAGGCAAAAAAGATGGATCTCAATGTTTTAAACAAATATTCATGTGTTCCCTCCATTTTTTAACTGAAAATTTTCAATCCCACATTGAGTTGCCCTTCACAAAAGCAGTGGTATCATCAGCAAAATGTATTAATTCTGAATACATTTTTAGGGGCAAGCCATTGAAGAGATTATGAATAATAACGGTCCCGGATTTGAGCCTTAAGGAATTCCCCACTCTATATTTATCCAGTCTGAATAGTTTTTTATTCCCTTTTTTACAATGAAAGTTCTTTGTTTACTGTTTGCCAAATATGATCCAAACCACTTTAAAATGTAAAATGTTATTCCAATTTTACTAAGTTTGTGAATAAGTTCATGATTGACACAGGTTAATACCTGGAATAGCAATATAACAATCATCATCATATATATTAAAACTTGACAGGGGCTTTTTAATTTCACGATTCTGAATCAACCACTTGACGTATTTTCATGATTTTTGTGTTGAAAGAAAGATATTTTTGAGAACTAGGGAATGTCGAGCTCAGAGCTTCGAAGGAGAGACCTGTCAATAGATAACTATAAAAAATCTAAATTTTTAGAATATTATCTACGAACCTAGTATTCAATTTTAAGAGCCATAAGATACGAATATTTATATTTGGAATATTAAACCTGAAACAACCCGACCAGTAGATTTTCTTTTAAAATACTAATTATTATATTGTTATTCACACAACTCGTTGTTTCAGGAGACTTGGCTCAGAAGGCTTTGGATTGGCTGAGAGATATGAACCGCAAGAAAATTAAGGACAGCTATGATACATCAGCTGCTGCCAAACCCGAAGGGTTATCTTTTGATGCATTATTGAGGTTATTGCTTCCTATGATGGAGGCAAGAGCTACTTCAGGCAATTCTCTAAAAGAAGTATCACATACACTCGACTATGAAGATCCAGGCCAAACTTCTCGACCAGAAAATGACCCCGAAATAAATCAAAGTCAAACTATTAAAAAAGAAGTGCTAATTTTAGAAAGAAGAATAGTACAGTTGCTGGAATCTCGTTTTTCAATCGCTCAACGAACCAGTGTAGCCGAAGAGGATGATGACTTATCATTCTTCAAAAGTTTAATTCCTTCGTTTAAAGAACTTCCACTTCATAGACGAATGATCTTAAGATCAAAAATTATGAATTGTGTCATCGCAGAGCTTGAATAAGGAAAACCCAGCAACAGACCATGGTCATCTCCACCGATAGTTTCAAGTGAGCCTCCATTACACTTCACAACATATGTCCCCAATCTACAAAATGTACCCAACTCTTCAGCAATATTGTGCCCCAGATCCATCCCATCCCCATACCAATCCCAACCACAAAATTCCGATTAGCAGACCCTCAACGTTTCTCTAATTACTTTTAAGTCTTAAAAACAGTTTGAAGTTTAATGATTCAAATTTAATGAGAGGTTTTTTTTGTCGACAATGGCTATAATTGTTATTATTATTCTCTTTAACATATATTTAATTTTTGCCATTTTTACTCTGACAATGTTTTTGGTAGTTAATTAAAATGTGATTAATATGTACTTTACGTTTCGTATTGTTATAAAAATGTTCTTGCTAAGATGCATTAAAATAATTTACATACTATAAATAATTTACATGATGAATGATAACCGATTGTGTCACGATTTATCAATTCAAGTTGCAAGTAGTTGTATCTCCCTCCAAAATGATAGACCTGAGATTAAGTAGATAAATCAAAACCAACTACTAAGAACTTCCTGCTTGGAAATAAAGTTTAACGGAAGTATAATTAGGTTTGCCTTATTGCTTCTAGTCACGATACCCTGTCCCAAGTAATATGCCAAGCTGATACTTCTCGGACTTAAAGCAAGCTAGGAGTGTAACGGGTCTGTAAAACCACGTAAACTTGAGGTAATGAAAATCATAAACTTTCCCTTTGGTTACGTTGTATTTTAGGGGTATGCATTTTTATTTAATTGTCTCCAAAGATTCCTAGTAAACTAAATAATTGTCATCCTAAAACCAATAATTAATACAGCTTAAGAAAATATTTGTGTCTGTAAAACTTCTTAATACATAATGAAAAAAAGTTCATCTCTAAAGTAGTACAGATGGTGGAAACCCTTATTAAATATAGGTATTTAGAAAGTTCTGGTGACTATGAAACGAAAACTCGACATTATAAATCAAATAACTAACATCCCTCCTCATATAAGCCTCCAATTTATTGTATCCATTTATCACTCGGTAGTGGGGTTTTTCTAATAACTTTTGGAAAAACTGCTGACCGAATTAATACTTCTTTCTAATGAAACATATTTATTGTCATTTATAGATGTAAGAGTATGATCGAGTTAAATGTTACTCAATATCTGCAATATTTCAAAAGATACTTATATCTATATTAAGATTTGTTAAGGTCGATTTGGAGCTTCAAGATTCCTTCAAAATTCAGTCAAGTGCAACCATACTTCTCAACAAATTCCATCAACCACACAAACGCCACACAAACATCTAATTATTTGAAGGTTTATCAGAGCTTGTATCAAGAGAAAATTGATCATTTATACAGAGTGGTTGGCAAATAGTTTTCGGAGTTGCATTGGATGAAGAATCTCACACAATTAAAAAATTAATTATTACTAAAGAAATATTAGTCTACTTTTTGACTTATATGAACAAATTTTGCCGGGTAAATGCTAGGAGTGAGTCTTATTTTACATTTTCTAGTATACATGGGTTTAATTAAAGAAATACTGTTAATATAACGCTATACTTAATTTTTTTTAAGTGTCTTGACTGTAGCTGCAATTTCCTACGCAAAAATTCAGGTGGAGAGAAAAAGTAAAATGCGTAAAAATGAAACCAGGGTTGTTTGGAGGTCCAAAGAAGTAATTTTCAACGTTATAAAGCTCGACCGACCCATGGGATTTCAGTTTTCAACTCAAGTTTCTTTATACAACCTTAGCTTTAGGCAACCTCAAAAACTAAAATAAAGACTAAAATGAACTGTATGTTATATAAACGATTGCACAGTTTGTACCAAATAATAGAAAGTATATTTAATTACCCTAGAATTTGTTTGCCGAGTGCCGGATATTCATGTATGTTATAATAAAGTATTTTATTGCCTTCCATTAGCCTTTAGAGTTAGATTGAACAGGGTTTATTTGTAAGTTTTTATCAGTTAATGTCGGATATTACAAGGTAATTAAATACATTATATGAAGATAAATGTTATTCAATATGTTTTGCATGTTAAAGATTTTCAAATTTTTTCAATAAATAGCTTATAGTCATTGGATATTAAAATACATACAAATTAGTTGCTGCTCTCATCATTGTACAAATATTTAAAAAAATCATTTAATTGGCCAAGCTATGACAGGGTTCACCTTTTCCAACTGCATCTTTGGTAGGTAGAACAAATAACCTTGACAGAGGATTTTTTTGGCTCATAACACAGTGTAATAATAAGTAGAAAAGGCTTAAGTAAACTTGAGGTAAAATATGGGGTGAACAATAGTAAATAAATATGAAAATCAAAGAAAAGTCAGACCTATAGGAGTTAATTAATATATTGGAATGCGAATGAGAATGAGTGAGAATGAGAATGATTTATTTCCTGAAAGCATAATATGTACAAGGAAACGTCAATACATCAATAGCCTAAGCCTGCAACACACCATTTAGAGAATCGAAAAACAAAAACAAAACTTATTTATTATCACACATTAGCACTCATTGGCTAAAAAAACTTACTTACTTGGCCAGGTGAAATTTCAAAATACTCTTTGAAAGAGTAAATCGGATTTGCCAACAGAAGAGATTCTATCCCCTTTTTGAATTTTCCTTCCGGCAGGTTCCGAGCTGTACAAGGGAGTTTGTTAAAAAACTTATATCTCTGTATATAATAGCTAGATTGGACCTTTCTTAATCTAACTTAGGGTACATTCAAGTCGTCCTTCCTCCTAGTATTGTGAGGGTGGATATCACTTAGGAGTTCGAGAGAGCCTGAATCCTGCTTAGTACACAGAAGAGATAAACTGAAGAACAGAAGAGATATATAATCTGTACACTGTCATAACGGATTCAAAAATAAGGATAGATTTGCAGTGGTCTAAAAAATCAAGCACCTGCCAAAATTCTGACTGCCGCCTTTTGGAGCGTCAAAACCTTCTCGACTCCCGGAGTGCCACCCCAAAGTTTTAAACCATAAAGAATTATGCTCTGAAAAAAGGCAAGGTAGGCAGTTCTTAGCCAATCAGTGGGTACAGAGTTCTTCAAGTTCCTGAGCAAGTAAATCACCCTGGAAAGTCTACTACATACAAAAGATATGTGACTATTCCAATCCAGCTTAGGACCTAACATTAATCCAAGTAGTTTAACGCATGTGACATCTTGCTTAAGCTGTCTAAGACTAAATATTATAGACTGAGTCTTACTCTCATTCAGGAAGAGAAAGTTAGCTCGGAACCACGCCGAGGCCATTTGGAGAGTCTAAGACACAGTGCCCTGCAGGATATTAAAGTTATCATTTACCCCAATCAGAGTAGTGTCATCTGCATAGCAAACAACCCCCTCTCCCAAATGCAAAGAAAGGTAATTTATAATTATGTTGAAAAGCAAGGGCCCAAGGACAGACCCCTGTGGGACGCCATGAGTTAAAGATTTTACAACAGAGGACTGACCATTTACAGAGACAAACTCTCTGCGCCCACCCAAGTACAGAGTACTTTATCAATTGATTTTAAGATAATAGGTTTCAGTGACACCTATTCAATAGTGCCCCCTCCCCACAACTACTAGATGAATCTTGCAAAAAATCTCGTAATAATATATTTCATCTAATGTTGTAAATATGTGTAATATGTAAATTTGAGTAATTATTGATCTTTTTTTTGAAAATTAACATTCCTTGAAATACCACTACCAATCATCGGATGCATCACATTTTCTAGTGGAGATAAATGATTTTGTATTGAAAAACATATTGTCTTTGCATTTGTAAATGATATTGACACGAATTTCTGATCAAAAGCCACAGTTGGATGCTTCGCGTTTTACGTTCAGCCTCCGGGGAAGAGTATATCCGCTCAATTTTGGCGCGAAACCAAAGTGATAACGAATTGTGCTACTACATATCCGCATGGTTGTCCCTTCATCAATGTCTAAAAATAAAGGAATGATAAAGGTCATGGAACCTCTTTAGAGCGTAATTTTTATCCAGCTATCGTCTAAGAATGTTTGTTGGAATACTGACTGTATGAATGCCTGTAAATAATTCAAAATCATGTTTATTAATGCTGGGTTATTATGAAATATATGCAATATATCGTCGAATGCTCTCAAATTGTCAAATAATAACTATAAAATCGCAGAGGCTAATATGAAAGCTTGTACAAAAACAAAACAGAGTGGACGGAGAAGGTTTTTTTTATGAAGTAACATAATAATCATTTTAACTTGTGAACTTTGTCAGTTTTCTGAGAAAAAATAGTTAAAAACCTCTCACGTTAATTTGGATGAGAAAAGGACGATTAGCAAAAACTGTCAGTTGAGGTGGCAATTTTACGTCACTAATTATTTGAAAGCAACTGACCCGCATTTCATTCTTTTACACTTTAATTAATTAATTTGATGTCCGAGAAAAATCTTTTGCGACAGTTTTACATTGCCTTTATATTTATAATCAAAGAAATTTTACAAAATATAAAATTAGATAAAGTACATTAATGTATTTTTTTTTGTTGAAAACGATAACGTTTTGAAAAGTTAACCTCAGTAAATAAGTTTTTAACAAGATACACATGAGATAAGGCATATTCAAGAAACAAACTTGAAAAGGTATACTTGTGTTCTAGGATAAAATAAAAAATAAAAATCACATCTTTATTGTCATGAAAGTATTTCAATTTACGTTTGCAAACATCTAAACAATTTGATAAAATAATATCAACACATTTAGACCCGAAAAAATAGGTGACAAGAAAAACATTACAACTAATAACTTACATCCACTTTTCTCGTTTAATCCACTCACAAAACTTGGGTATTCCCCTTTTGAAAGTATTTTTTAGGTGACAAGAAAAAAAATTACAACTAATAACTTAATTCCACTTTTCACGTTTAATCTACTGACAATACTTGGGTATTCCCCCTTAATTTTTTGTTTAACGTTCGAACGATGTTAGGCATCAACACCCAGCACTGCATGCTAAAAGCTAGAGGGTAGGGCTGTAAAATGTTGAATGCAAAAAATAGGTTTGTTAAAAAGAAACAACATGGCAGTTGAAGAATTAATGCGCATATTGGATTAGCGAAATTCGTAGAGGTTTATTTGATCTTAGAACATATGAGGTAATATGAATGAGGTATTATAAATAATGTATTGTAAAAGAGTCAAAACCAACTACTAAGAACTTTCTGTTTGGAAATAAAGTTAAAATGGAATTATAGCTAAGTTTCTCCCAGTCACGAATCACTCAGTTAAAGAAAAGTAAGTTGATACTTTTCGGACTTATGTAAGTTAACCAGCGGATGTTTGAGTATTGTCAAAACCAATGTATAAACTTATGTGAACATCAAAACTAATATTAATCCGTCGATGGTTTTATATTCAATGTGTTTCGTCCAAACTGTTAATTTTACACATTTGTATTACAAAATCTTATTACGTCTTTTCTTTCTGTGTCTTACAAATTTATCCTTCGAATTTATTAATTCTATAAAAAATTAAGATTCCTTTTAAACAAACAAACCATTACAGACTTTTACTACAGAAGTAACTATTATTCATTTATAGAGATTGAAAATGAATAAATGCACATGAAACAAAATCAAAATTAGCCATCGATAAATTTATTA